AATCAAGTTATTTAGTTTTATATTAAATATTTTTATAATAGTTTTAGTTTTAAGATAATCGGGCAGTTCAAAGATATCATTGTCCTTTAATGTCGAATTAAGAATCTTTTGAATTAAAGAATACATCCACAGGAACATTATTCGGCTACAAAGTGAGGCGCTCATTTCTGGTGATGGCGTTTGATTCTTATTGGTTAATTAAATTAAGAATTAGTAAAACTAAAAATAGCCTTCAAGATTTCAATATTTAAAATTTGTTACCTTCATGACATAATTTGGTTTCTCTAAAATCGCGATGTACATCAAAAAACATAAGAAACAAAGAATCAACAAGAATAAGATGTACTTTGTGTTAACGAGCATTTCAATTTTTAGATGATCCAAATGGAGATTTTTTATCACATAAAACATTGAGAGAAGGTATAGAATGTTCAGATGGTTACGAATATGTAAAAAGCCATATTGTTGCGAATTGTTTTTCAAAATTAATGCCAACAAAGTTGCGTACATCTATAAAGACAAAACAAACAAATAAATAACAATAAAACTTATTAAAAATTTTTATAAATAACGATAAAATAAATGAAAATTCACCCAAACAATAAGCCAACAGATACAATCAAGCTCATACGAATTTTGTAATACATCAAGGCAAACATGAAGCAGACAAATTACAATGGTGATATTGAGACGAGATTTTGTCTTATCATTATTGTGAAGATTTACTTCTGTCTCATTATCATAGATTGAATCACTTGAATTAAATCGTCCATTAAAATGTGTCAATGCCAAAATTAATGTTGAAATGATCAAATACAACAAAGGTGCTTCAATAGCTATAAGACTGATTGTTTTTTTTTAAAAAAAAATTTAGATATGCATTCATATGTTAATATGCTGCTTTTTGACTAATATATAAATTTTTATTAGGATGGACACGATTCGAGTCAACTCGAGTCTGCTCACAAGTCGATTAGAGGAATTCAAGTTTTGAATCAATTTGATTTAAATGTAAGGGAGTCGACCATAAATTCAAGCTTTGAGTCAATTTGACTCAAATGTAAGGGAGTCGAGATTCTTCGAGTCATTATCATCCTTAATTTTTATACATTGTATATAAGAAAATACTTACAAGTCAATCTTAAAGCCCAAGGTTAGATACATTTAAATTATATATATATGTGTGTGTACCGGGTGCAGGGACCGGAAAATTTTGGATTTTATTTATGGTGTTCGAAAAGTTCCTATTTTTTAAGTAAGTTAACATATATTGAGATCATGATGATTTGAATATTGCATAAATAATTATCGTGAAGAGATCACTATAAATAACTATTTACATATTTATATAAATAATCATGAATATTGCTAACTTACCTCCCTGATTAGCTCAACTACCCTTTTATTATAACTCAAAAACAGCTTAAATAACTATGGTTGATATATTAAGCAAAAATGTTTAGCCTTACTCTAGACTTAACTCTAATCCTAGTTTTAATTTCAACTCTATTTTAAATTCTAGATTAGAGTTTAAATTAGTTTAAAATAGATTTTATATATTATAATTTAATAATACTGTAATTATATATACTAAATAAGATCCTAATGACTATGACGTAATAATTATTATAATTGTGATTTCTATATAAAAACAGACTGTTGTTAGAACACCCGGTATAAAGTCACTTAAAAATAGGGACTGTGTACAGGAACTTTGTAATATCCGGTACATTATGGCATTTTTATCAATTTTTCTGTAGTTCATTATTTACATGTTCTATCAAACCAAATATGGTTTATTTGTCTGAGTATAATAAAAAATTGTTCGTCCATTTTACTTTGTTTCGTCAGTCTAGTAGTCATGAAGGCGTGCACTTATTTGTGAAGTGATACAATTTCAAAAAGTGAAATTAGCCAATCGGAGAACGTGAAAGACATGTGAGCAGAACGAAGCAACAAAATAAAAAAAAAAAACTATTTTGGGCGTTT